AAAATAAGGAGGAAAAAATGTGACTGCTATTAAGTACTTATTATAAGCACGTGTTGTATTATTTCTTTGACTTATATGCATCCATGGTACTAGATTTTTATTTTATAAATATTATAGCCTTTTAATTTCAAAATAATTTGGAAATCAGGACTAGAAGTCATACTTTATTCTAATAATGTTATGAAACATTCAAAATATATATTCTGGACGCAGGTCAGACAATAATAAATAAGCAGAAATAATTTATCTATTTCATACCATTTTAGTTATTTTATCTACATAATCTCCTATTTCCCTTTTATTAAAAATTTTAAACACATGTTTTATCAATGTTTAATAAAATAGCAAGAGAATGTGTTTTATTCACAAGTATAGATATTGTCACTGCTGGAAAGGGAAATTTATGGACAGGTATTTTGTGATGAGTTTACATTTATTTATAAAGTCAGTCTACCTGAAGCTGAGTGGTTTGAATTCCCTACTGCCCCTCTGAGAGAGGATGGAAGGAGAAATTAAATTTTTTTCTACATAAGAGAATACTGAAAAAGCCACATTAAACCACATGTGGTAAATTAATTTATGGTCAAGAAAAGTAAAGAATACATTTCAACTATTTCTCTTGTCTATGTTGATTTATTCTGATTCTTTTGGACTAAATATAAACCAAAGGGCATATTTAAGTGGGTTGTCATAATTTATTTAAAATATGCTGTGATAATTAATTTAAAAATAGTATTTGAAAGCTAAGATGATTCTCAAATCCTTTTGCATAACATTCTGTCTTTTGAGGAATAGAGGGGCCATGACATTTTGATCTTCACTCTTATCCTTACATTGCCTTTCTTTAAGCAATTTTGAAACAATAGGGATGTACAGACATCTTTGCAGTGATCTCTCTGGCTTCTATTTATTTGCAAATATTATTATGTAAGAAAGATTCTGCATCATTCACTTTCTATCTAAATTGGCTGACAGTAATTCATTGTTTTGGTCTTAACTGGTATACTGGTCAGTTTCTCACCCTGGGACAAAATCCTTGACACCCACCACTTAACGGAGGTGAAGGTTGCTTTGGCTCATGGTATCAGAGTTTCAGTCCATAACTCACTGATTCCAAGGCAGAAACATCATGGTGAGATGGCACAGTGAAAGAAAGATGCTCACTTTATGACAGCCAGGAAACAGAGAGATGGGGAGAAAGAGCCAGAGGAAAGATGCACCCTTCAAAGGTACATGCCCAGTGACCTACTTCCTCCGACAGGACCCACATCCTCATAGTACATCCACCTTTGGAGTCAGCATTTAATGATCCACTGATGGAGATACCATCCTCTTAATCCAGTCACCTTCCAAAACTCCTCCTGCAAATATCTGACACTATGGGGACATGGTTCCAATGTGAATCATCATATCTGAGACATCAGTAGCTTCTGTATTCCAAATTATATAACTTGCTCTCCCTTTTGAGAGAGGATCTCACTATATTTCCTAGGCTGTCCTTGAACTCACTATGTAGTCCAGACTGGCCTTGAATTCACGGCAATCCTCCTTCCTCAGCGTCCTGAGTACTGGGATTACAGGCGTGCACCCTCCTGCCCAGTTTAACTCTCTGAAATGCTTCCTTTCCGGCATATCCACTGACATATACAGATCTCTCATTGTGTCTATAGTAACAATGCTGTATATATTCAAAGCTAATTATCTTTCATTTCTGTCTTTCACAATGGAAATTTTCTTTTATTTTCTTTACAAGACCTTCTCACTAAGCAATCTCTAGAATATGCCTTGTAAAAATATACAGAAAAATAAATTAAAGAATACAAGTATAATCACATCATAGTAGTAAAATTTTGCTAGTAATACTGCTAAACCAATACTTTTTCAAGAATTTAATCATTGTATCACCATGGAACTAAAAATATAAGATGTTTGGTTTTGATACCATATATATATATGATACCATATATATATATATATATATATATAATCAGATAAAAATTTACTTGCAATCTTACCATTTAATAATAGTTACTTTTTTTCTTCAATACAGAGAAATTTATTTTGAAATAAATAAACTCAAGTGAACCCAGGTCCTTCCTACTGAGTTACATCACCAGCCCTTTTATAAATTTCAAATTTGTTGTTGAGACAAGATTAGCTAAATCATTAATCAACTCAGGCTGGCCTTAAACTTGTGGACCTCCTGCCTGTTCTGGGATTACTGGCATGCAATTCCACACCTGGATGTAATACCTACATTTGTGATATATTTTCTGTTTGATTATCTATAATATTCTCATCATATACCAAATTTAATGCACAAATAACCATCTATTTTGCATAATTACAAGAGATTCATGGAGAATTGTCTCCTAAAAGCTATACAATTTTAATTTTTAATCTTCTAATAATATTTTATAGAAATTTATTATAATCTTTTATATATGTACTGCCTTCTATGACACTAAATAAAACATTTAATTTTATTATTTATACCTAAGACTATTAGAAACTTATATTCTCCATGTTTAGATATGGCATACATAGTATACAATCCAAATGCATCACATGTGTTGTTATTTATGCCTGTGAAGAATCCAATGAAGCTTGTTAAAAATGTTCATTTTTATTTCACCAAATAATTTATTTTTATTTAGTATTTTAAATTGTTATTGTTTTGCTTTGATTACACTGTTGGTTATGAAGCTGTTTGTAATTTTATCTTTATTTGAGTTAAGTCTTACAGTATGGACCAATGAGCCAGATTTTATCAGCTCATCCCAACCTCACAATACAGAATCTCTTGAAAGGGAAATGGGAGGTGAAGTCCCAGGGGAGTGTCTTGGTTACTTTTCTCTCATTGCTGGGACAATATACCTGACAGCCAGAATTAATGAAGGAAAGGTTTATTTAGCTCACAGTTTGTGGAGGTTTCAGTCCATACTTGGCTGGCTCCAAGAAGGGTGGCACATGGCAAAGGGCAACTGTTCATGGTAGTGGAAGATAGCAAAAGCAACCAGAGCAAAAGGGAGGAGCAGCAAGGAAGCCTGTTTCCCTGCCTTACATTGTCTGCAAACTACCCGCCCCAGGGCAGGTGTAGCACTGACATCCATAATCTCAGCATTGGACAATGGAGCAATCATAAACTCTAGAAGCCTACCCCATGACTGCATGAGGCTTTGGGAGGACGTTCAAACACACACCATAACAGGCAGCATTTACTAGCTGCTTCCCACCACTGTATTCACATATTGACTGTATATATGCAAAGTTTATAAACAGATTTACAAACAAATGTGCTTTTGAGATGCTTCTGGTTCCAATCCAGTCTGTCTCAAAAGTAGACAGCCAAACTTTTCTAAACAGCCTTCCTATGATGCAGGCACCACTACTGTCTTTACCTGTTCCTGCCTTTCAGTCCAAGCCCAGTCCGGTCCAAGCCTAAGCAAACTTAGGATGCTCCTTCTCATTTTAAAATAAATTTGGAAAGTACGGCCACATTTTCACTCCTTAAAATTCAAGTTTTTACTTCACATCACATCTTTTTAAATTATGTAACCCAGTTTTCATTTTTGTCTGTATAGGTGGGCTGGAGGTTTTATAACTGGGGAAGTTAAAAGGTATGAGATAAGAGTAGTACCTAAAATATTTCTTTTCCACATTTCAGGGAGACAATTAAAGTTCCAGTAAGGCAAATTAAATTATGTTTGTGTAAATTACATGTAGACTATGTCAAATACTCCAGCTAACCTTGTAAATCCCTAGTAGAATTTGAAAGAATGAGGGGAAGGGAAAGGAATGGAGAGGTGTTAGGAGTGGGGAGCTTTGTGTATTTGGAATTTTTAAGAATGAGCATCTTGATGACCACTGTGAATCCTAGGAGGACAGGAATTAAATCATAGCTTTTTTATCTATTTAGGTATTATAAAAGTGTTTATCAAACATTTAACATAAAAGTAAATGAAAGAAATTTTCCCTTGAAGCAAATTAAGAAAAACCAAAATCTTGCAGAATCACATAAATTTCTATGGAAACTTTCTCAAGTTAGTTAAATCTTTTTTTTTTTTTTTTTTTGGTTTTTCTCCGGTACCGGGAACCGAACTCACGACCTTGCGCTTGCCAGGCAGGCGCTTTGCCGCTGAGCTAGACCCCCAGCCCCAGTTAAATCTTTTTTAACTATATTTTTCTTATTTAAACTGGATGGCTAGAGTAAAAATCCCAAGATGAGACATGGTCCCATGAGAAGGGCACTCTCAGCGGTAGCAGGCACAAAGTAAACACATTATGCAATATTTAAATCCATGACCCATTGTATTTTCTGTGACACATGTAGTAATAAGAAGGGAAACCCCAGAAAGGGAGTGGTGAAGGGGGACAAAAAAGATGATATGGTATGTGTAATGTTCACTTACCAATTCCCTCCAAGGAGTGCTGTCATCATGCACTGTAAATGTGTACTAATGCATATTTAACGATATTAATTGGCCAAGAATTAGTATATTTGCATTTGAAATCAAACATCTTTAATTCCCTTCGTATATTACTTCCCTTCTGTAGTTTCCACCATGTTAAATTAGTGCCCTTTCCTTAAAGTACGGGTACTTTAATGTGCAGGGGTTCCTGGAGAGAATTAATAAAGAGAAACCCAAGCTAACTGGAATCTCTTTGCTACTGAAAGTGCCATGGATTTTAAATATGTATGCACTGAAATTAAATCAGCAAAATCATATCAATAAAACAGCTAGTAAGAAGCCATAGCACAAGCATTTGGTCTTAGATTTAAATAACCAGGATCTCTTAACACTCAACTGTGTACCTGACAGTAAATCTTACAGTAGAAGAGATGGCCAGTGTACCCTGAAAATTAACCTGTAAATATTTAAGTTGATTTTTAAAACACCAACAGAACAAAGTATAGACACAGAGAAAATGGTGAACTATACACAAATCAACTAGAAATCCATTACTCACCAATAGTATGATTTTTTTTCATTTTTCAGGAAAAAGTTCAGCACTTACAGAAGGCTTTTGCTTCAAGAGTAGATAAATCCACACAGACGGAACTTCTAGGCTATGATGTAAGTAGCTATGTAAAATCATTTTATCTTTTTTATTAATATTTAGACCTCTATAGCATTTACCTCTGCATTTCTGTGTCCATGCTTTGACTTAGTATGATTTAGTGGGGCTCCATTCATGTTTTTCTCTGAAACAATTCCAAAACACCTTCCAGAACTGAAAAAGATGAGAGGTAGCAACTAGTATAGCAATCTTATCAAGCTTTTCTAAACCAACATTTCTTTTCCTTTCGTCTTTTTGAGGCAGGGTCTCGCTATGCAGTTCAGATTGCCCTTGAGCTCACTTTGTAGACCAGGCTGGCCTCAAACTCACAAGGATCCTCCTGCTTCAGCCTCCCAAATGCTGGGATTACAGGCATGCACCACCACGCTCAGCTAAACCAACATCTCTAATACACTATTTTGAGTTAATGAATTTGCAGATGAGTGGTTGATATGTATTAGAATAGTAGGGCAACTTAGTTTAAGAAAGTACCAATTTATTTATTAACAATTGATAAAGTTGTGTATGCAAACACAAAGGCCAAATACATTATTTTTACATGCAGACACATACAAGGAAATATAACTGCAAAGAAATTCATCATAATATTTTAGCTATTAGGCTTTAGTGCAGGCAATAGAAAGTAATTTAATTGAAAGTTAGTATTTTTTCTTAGTGTGAAATACTTGCTCGCTGCCAAAATAGGATTGTGAAACATCTTTTAAGTCAATATTGATCTTAGTAGCACTGTATGGCTCAAAAAACTTTCTTAAACCCAGCTATGAAATTTGCTTTTTGCCAAGTTCATGACTTAAACTTCTCTTTGACGAAAAAATAAAAGAATTATCTTTGTTTTGCATCTAACTCTGTGAGAACCTTCCTTCTACCTAAAGACATTTATTAATATTATTTTAGTACCTTGTTGATAAGGGAGATATAATTAAATTTTATGAAAATGTATACTGTATGGATAAAGGATGTTTATCTGCAGGCATGTCCTCCTTAAATTACATAATATAAAAGTAGATGTTATTTTTGATGTTGTCATGCGAGGCATTAATATGTTTAATATAAAACTACTTATCTCTCTTAGGTTATAAACCAAAGATTTTATCTCCAGCTCAAATTATTTTCAGATGTTTATATGCTTTTTTTAATTTGAAAAATGAATAAAGTCTGGTTCTTTTGAATTTTCCTATCACTTTCATTTTTAATATACTTAATCTAGATATGTAAGTCTTCTGGTTATCAATATGTGACCACAACTTATTGACTTCTAGTATTATATGTTATTTAAATGATGTTGATATTTATTTTAAACTGAAATATTTTCTATAAAACACAAAGAGCATTTATCATAAATTATCCAGAATTTATCTTATTCTGAGGATACTTTTCTGCTTAAAAATTTTCAATCATTGTTGTATTAGCCCCTAGAATATAAGCTCAGTGGACATTTCATTAATGATAACCCATGTATTTGCACATCTGCAAGTCAGAGCTTTCTCAATAAAAATAAAGAGATCCTAATTCCTATCATATTGTATACCAGCATAGCATCATTCATGCACACATATTAGAACTTACCCTAGAATCCACTACTTCAAAGCTTTTGGGTTTCAAGTAAGTTAACTGAATTCCATCTTTGTGGGTATCCAGTATTTACTTTAGAAAAACGCCCTATATTTTTTCTGTCTTTTTTTTTTTTTTTTTTTTTTTTTTTTGGTAGCACCAACTAAACTCACAACCTCACACTTGCTAGGCACACTCTGTACCACTGAACTATATCCCCAACCCCTAAAAAATGTATTCTCAACACAGGGGAAAGGCAAAAAACAAGCATGCATTTGGATTCAAATATTGCTTTTTCCATTTTTCGAAATAACATTTGAGAGACTAAATTCTAACTTGAACATAAATATAAAATTCAAGAACTTTATCCAACACTGTTCTCTTTATGTAGTACTGTCAGTGACCACTTGTAAGAAATGTTTCCTAAGGAATCAGTAGTACATTTGGAAAGTAAAGCGTTACCAGATCTGTACTAACACCGGAGCTAGTAGCAGCTTCTTGTGAATTTGCCCATCTTTGTCTCAAAATATTATTTCTACAAAATTTCTTATATTAATGTTATTTCACTTTCTAAACCTGTAAATCAAAGTTAAAAAAATAAACACCTAATCTTCATTGTTCCTAGCGTGTCTTTACGTGTGATAGTGGTGCTCTAATGTCGTATTCTACACTGAATTAAAGTTAAGGGATTATATTTTCTTGTTAGTGAATCCTTGAGGAGTCCCCTTACTCAAAGGTGGTTATGATTTGTGTAGTTGTTCACATATAATATCAATCTGTTCTAAAGATTGCATTTTTCATGTTTCTTAGTCATCTCTTCTATGATATAATCATCAGAATAAGCAAAATAATGTCTAAATAGGAATATAGACACGTGAAGATAAATATATGTAACTGTAGCAATAAAATTTAGGGCATTTTTGGTATGAAAAACTGAGAGGCAAAATACTTTAGATGAATAAATTAGAAATAACTAAAACATTTTAAGAATGCTGAATTATGTAACTATTTTGAAATATGTGATTCATCTTTAGTACAATTTCCCCCTTGACCATGAGACATTTTCTATACTTTTCAAATTTATTTATTTATAAATAATCTAATATTTTCATGTGAATAAGAATTGTATATTATCCTTTATATTTTGTTCCTATCTTTTCAGAAAATATATATTTATATTTTAGTTTTCACAAAGTATAAACATACATATATTACTTATTTATAATTTGCAAATAGCATTTATCAGAAAAATAAAAATATAGAAGTGTAATATGTCATCAATGGTTTTAATATGCCTTCGTCTTTTTCTAGAGCTGTCAATTTTAGCCATAAATTGATACAAATCTTTTCCCGTTGTTCAGGTTCCTATTTCAGGGATATGAATATCATTTGGAGGAAGGTACCTATTGCTACACATTTTACGTAAAATACAAATTATAACCTATAGAAGGCAATGATCGTAATAAAATCTATTACAATTCACTATAGTGAGTAAGTTTAGGGACTTGCACAATAAATGACTGATCTCCTGAAGCCCACTGATCAGGAGCCTTGAAACCATTAGCATATACTATGCTCCAATTTGTACTGCGCCTGGCAAGAATTTTTAGAGAATAAATTCAGTATCTCATCGTGGGCCTGTAATCACAATAGTTCTTGAGCTGAAGGAGATTATTAAATAAATGAAAAATGGCCCGAAGTAATCAATGCCAATTTAACATCCTTCACCTTCCTCTGTCTGCGCAGGCTCAGCTTATTGAAAGACCAAAGAATAATTTCTTCAGTGTCACTTGTGTTATGAAAACAGGTTAGAAGATGAACATACACACGCAAGTAGCAGTCTTGCCCATTACAAGATTATATTAAGAGGCAGAGAAGATTTTTCTGATTGCCTCCATTGTGTAAATAAATGCTTCACCATGCCACATAAACTGTCTGTTAATACTTTATAGCTTGAAATACTGCAAATAACATTTTGCTGAAAATAACTTAAAAGGAGTAAGCAAAGTTCTACAGTAAAGATCTTTCATTCTGACAGTGAGAAAATTCATATACTTTCTTTAAGATCTTAAAGATAGGTTGCTTTTAGTTTTTTTATAAATGCGATTGATTTTAAGTATAATTTTTCCTTTCAATTAATACATGAACTTCACTCAGAATATTCACAGAGCCTCTAAATTTCTATTAGAAACAAGTACACTAACGTTTTCTTTTTTATTTTAAAGAGAATAAAAATAATAAAAAAATTAGAAACAATGCACAATTTCTTTAAACAAGATGATAGGAATTCAATAATGGTTGTTATATTACATATTGTTATCTTCAAACTAGTTGTTCAAATTACCAGATACAAGCACGCAAAATTGATCAAAAAATTAAAAAGAAGAAAAAAAAAGTAAACATTGACTCTTCCTTTCAGCAGACCAGTAGAAAGCAGCAGTACAGTTATGCCAGCTATCCTGTGAATATACACATATATATATTTTTTTCCCTTCCTTCTTTCTTTCTTTTCTCCTTTCCCTCATCAAGAAAGGGAGGGTACACTAACATTTTAAGTAAAGGGGGTTTCTACTTCCATTAGCATTTGTTTTAAACTCACTGTATGTTTAATAGATGCTGATTAGTCTTGAATTTGCAAGGTTCTGTTCATATTTTCCTTAAAAATTTTGAAGTTATCAGTCCTATCTAATAATAAATTACTAATTACTATTGGTCTAAACATTATTGGTAGTTCTCATTGGCTGTTCAAAACTGGTTGTTTGTGGCCTCACGCATTTCTGTCTCAGTTCAGTGTAAATATAAAATGTCAATCATTTTAGTAACAGGTGCTTATTCTGCTAAGTTTTTTAAGTATTTTAGCAGGGCTTTCAAATGGCAGGATTTGCTTTATACTTACAACTCCTGCTTACTTGTTAGGAAAATAATAAAGATACTAAAAATGTGCCTTCTCAAGCAATATATTGGTGAATTTCTCCATGTGATTTTCTATGTATTTTGTAATCTTTGCTGCATTCATTAGATGTAAATGTGTAAGTGTTCCTGGAATACTTATTGTACAGATACTTAAAATTATCAAAATAGTTCATCGTGTCATATTCATGTGAGCAATAAGGATGACTAGCTTTCTCTGCAATTACTTTATTAGCTATTGAGGAGACTAGGAGAGTTTTTTTCTGTTACGTGCTAGTATTTGTCAGTCTGTGCAGTAAACTCAATTCTAAGAACTTTTAGCTATCAACTAGGCTCTCTCAGCATCCGCCGATTTATAAACTGTAGTTTGTGAAAGTTTTCTGTTCAGATGCTGTTTATTGCAGCCATTGCTCTTGAGGCAGTACTTCTACAGAGCCTATAGGAATGTGCCCCAGCAGTGACTAGAAAACATGTCTTCCTCCTGGGTGCTTTATTTATATTTATGTTCATTATATTGATATTCACTCACTTCTAG